ATGGGGAAAGGCTTTGGAAATCTAAAGCACAAAGGGACTTGGGGAGTCCTAGTTTAGGGATTTTCTTAGGGTTAACGTGCAGGTTCAGCTGGCAGTTAGGAAGGCAAGTACAATGTTAGCATTCATTTCAAGTGGGCTAGAATAAAGGAGCAGAGATGTACTGGAATAAAACTAACATAATGGTGACAAATGTTGATTGTTGGAATGATCCATCCAGTTCACCAATGTTCTTTGGGGAAGGAAATCTGCCATCCTTACCCTGTCTGGCCTACATGTGACTCCAGACGCAGAGGCCCCTGGGCAATTAGGGACGGGCATAAAATGTTGGCCTATCCTAATCCCCATGAGCAAATAATTTAAACAGGCCAATGGAGGCTTCAGCAGAAGGTAGTTCCCCAGGGAGCACTGACCACTACCACAAGGGGAAGGTTGATGTAGGTAGTGCAGATGCATTTATTGCCCTGTCCCTAATTGCCCAGGGGGCAGTTAAGAGTCAACCACGTTGCTGTGGGCCTGGAGTCACATGTAGGCTAGACCAGATAAGGATGGCAGTTTCCTTCCCTAAAGGACATTAGTGAACCAGATGGGTTTTTCCCCAAGAACTGGCAACGGATTTATGGTCATCACTAGATCCAGATATTTGTTATTGAATTCAAATTCCACCATCTGCCGCGGCGGGATTCGAACCCAAAACATTGCCTTGGTCTCTGGGTTAACAGTCCAGCGTCAATACCACTCGGCCATTGCCTCCCCCTAATCCTTCCTTAGACAGGGAGAGCCAGACACTGCTGTATTGAATGCTGTTCCTTGGCTTTGTTACAGATGACATCCTGCCAATATTCGCATATCCCCACAGGCTAGGCAGGTCTGTGACCGGTGGCTATATCTATAGAGGTTGCGAGATGCCCAATCTGAACGGACTCTACATCTTCGGAGATTTCATGAGCGGGTAGGTTCCCTCTCTCTGTCAACAGGACAACCTCTGAGGCAACAGAACTGCTGAGAGGTGTAAGTCCTTTTAAGAGTGACCTGTCTTAAACTGCTGTCTGTCAGTAAACTCCATTTCATAGACAATATGATGTGAGGTCCCATGCCCTCTCCAGTTGGAACACTGTGTAAGGTCATAAGACATAGGAGCAGATGTGGCTACTCGGCCCTTCGTGTCTGCTCCACCATTCAACCACAGCCAATATGTTTCTCAACCCCATTGCCCTGCCTTCTCCCCATAGCCCTCAATCCCCTTACTAATCCATCGCTGTCGGAAGTGATGTGCTCTTCCACATTAATCCTACAAGTCAGATATGTCCACATAGCTCTCATGATCTTTGTATAGTCTTTATCTTCCAAGTAGTTTTGTTTTTGCCAGTCTTTATACAACTGTTTGCAATAAACAGACGAAGTCACTTGCATTGATGTAACACCATAAATGCAGTAAAATGTCCCCAGGGGGACAGATATGAAACCTAAGTTGACACTGAGCCACAAAAGAGATGAGAAACCTATTAAAGGAACATAGGTCCCCTTATCAATAAAGTTACAAACTTTCCTACTTATTGCCAGAGATATTTTCAAATCCATAGAATCCCTACAGTGTGGAAGCAGGCCATTCAACCCAACAACCCACACTGACCTTCAGGGAGCATCCCACCCAGACCCATCCCTATCCCCCTGCCCTATCCCTGCATTCCCCACAGCTAACCCACCCAACTGCACATCCCTGGGTAATTTAGCATGGCCAATCCACCCTAACCTGCACATCTTTGGACTATGGGAGGAAACTGGAGCACCCTGAGGAAACCCACGCAGACACAGGAAGAATGTGCAAACTCCACACAGACAGTTGCCTGAGGCTGGAATTGAACCCAGGTCCCTGGTGCCGTGAGGCACCAGTGCTAACCACTGAGTCACAACCTGCTCAGAAATAGAGTCATCGAGATGTACAGCACGGAAACAGACCCTTCAGTCCAACAAGCCAACCAGATGTCTTAAATTAGTCTGGTCCCATCTGCCGGCATTTGGCCCCTATCCCTCTAAACCCTTCCTATTCATATACCCATCCAGATGCCTTTTAAATGGTGTAATTGTACCAGCCTCCACCACTTCCTCTGGCAGCTCATTGCATACACTCACCACCCTCTGTGTGAAAAAGTTGCCCCTCAGGTCCCTTTTAAATCTTTCCCCCCTCACCTTCAACCTATGCCCCTCTAGTTTTGGACTCCCCGACCCTGGGGAAAGGACCTTGACTATTCACTCCATCATGTAATTCTCAACCTGAGTTCCACTGCCCATTTCTCGAGCTCCCACTCCCTCTGAGCATCCACCCTGTCATGTGCTTTCAGCGCCCACAGTGTTTCAGAGAGCCTCCTGTCTCCATGTTCTGTGTTATCTTGCAGGCGCCTCATGTCTCTGAAAGAGGACACTCGCTCTGGTCGCTGGAATTACCAGGAGATCTGCATGGGCCGTGGGCAAGTGTGCAACTTCCCCAAACTCATCAATAACTACTATCAGTACATCATCTCCTTTGCTGAGGACGAGGCAGGTAACCTTCCTCAGTCTCCAACGGCGTCTGGCTTAACCCAAGATGGGTTTCATTTTGGTTTCCTTTTCTGACTCACAGCTCCAGAGAACGCAGTCCTTCAACATTCCCGTTCCCCGAGCTTCCCTCCACCCATTGTCTGTGTGTCTGTGTGTGTGTTAGAGTGTGTGTGTGTGTCTGTGTGTGTTTTAGAGTGTGTGTGTGTGTGTCTGTGTGTGTGTCTGTGTGTGTGTGTGTCTGTGTCTGTGTGTGTGTGTATGTTAGAGTGTGTGTGTGTCTGTGTGTGTGTGTGTGTGTGTCTGTGTCTGTGTGTGTGTGTGTGTGTGT